CTGAGCCACTCTAGCCGTCACCTGGCCTGAGTCCCGGCACTGCATGCAGGGGCCACACGTCGTGTCAGGTTGGGTCATGCCTCTAAGTGCCCTGCATGGCATTGGCCGGGCCGGGTCCATGGAGGCAGGACCTGGCCTGGCGCAATGCACAGCCCCTGCATGTGGTGCCAGGGCTCCAGGTGACAGCCAGAGTGGCCCGGTGCTGGCCAAAGGTGCACACCCCCGGGCCAGGACAGGTCGGGCCTGTGACATGTGGCACAGGTGGTACCGGGTCTGAGGTGGCCGGGGCAGTGCTGCGCCCCAGGGGGTGGCTCTCCCAGCAGCAGGTCCTGAACACCACTGCTGGTGCGGGTTGGGGAGAGGGAGGCTGTGCATGGTGGGGGGTGGGGTGGGTGAGGACCCTATGTTTCCTGAGCACCCCCCCCACCACACAGTCTCCATCATCCCCACACACAGTTTTCCCAAAACCACAACCCCGCCACAATCCACCCACAAATCCTACATCCACAAACTACCCCCACAAACCCCTCTCGCACATAACCAGCCACACCCCCCAAACTCCCACGTAAGCCCCAGACCCCCCAGAAACCCTACACCCACCTACAAACCCCACCACACCCCTTCCTACTAAACCCCATAACCCTCCTCGAATCTCACACCCCGCATGCCCAGCTGGCCACATGGAATAGGATGGGACCTGCTGGTGGGAGCTGCAGTTTTAGGGGCAACTGCCTTGCTGCAGCTCTGTTTCATGCCCACACCAGTACTGAAACATGTGGCCCCATCCATCCTGTGGGGGCTCTTGGTCCAAGGAACCACTTGGGGAGTGTGATGGGCTGGGGGGAGGTGAGGAGGTGGCAGCAGGGGTGTGTGTGACAGAGAGAGAGATGGGGGTCAGGAGTGGGGGACTGCTCCAGGTAGGAGAGGCCGTGAGATTCAGGCTTAGAGCCTCCCTGCCCCATAGAGCAGCCTGTGTAGGGGGAGTCTGGCTGAGAAGGGAAGGGCCTTGCCCAGTCCAGTCCCTGAGCCCCAGTCAAGGGCTTCCCAGAAAGGGCATGGGGATCTCTGGGGCCTGGGCACAGGTGCAGGAAGCAGAACAGCAAGAGCTGGCACTGATCAGAGCCACAAAGCAGCGGGTGGGACATCTGCAGCTGGATCCATGTTCTGGTGCTGGGATGGAGCTGCTGCCAGGAGGGAGCTAGTGGGGGCAGGCAATGGGTGCAAGTCAGGAGTGAGGGGACTGGAGGGTAGTGGGGAGCTGTGGGTTGAGAGTGAGGGAGAGGGGCAGGTCACTGGCATATCAGTGCTGCTCAGTGCTCCACATCCTGGTGAGTGAAGGGTGGCAAGAGAAGCCTTATTTTTCTATGTTAAAAAAAACAAAGAAAACACCAAAGTGAATAGATATTTAGAATTTTTATGATGATGATAGAGGCACTGGTAGGCTTCCAAGTTGCTCTAAAATTGTAAATATATCAATAAAACATTGCCCAACTGATCTCTCTTTATATCTCTCACCTATATAGTGATGTTTCATTTTAATCATGGAAGAACACGGATTTTGGGTACTCTAATGAAATAATTTGGGGGTTTTATCAGATAATTCTCTCATTAAAGTACCCAAAATCCGTGTTCTTCCATGATAATCCCTCCTGTCTCCCCTCTGAGGAAGTGTGAGTGGTGTGGCCACCTCCTTGTGCCGATTCAGTCTGTGCAGTCCTGCACCTTAGCCCCAGGGTCCTCTCTCTGCTTCCCTGCCTGACATGCCCGCTGCTCTGCAATGTTGTCTCAGGGTTTCTGGGACAGGGCCTGGCCCCAAGGGGTGATGCACATCCAACAGCCATGGTTCCTATTTCATAATAAGTTAGACAAGGATTTGTGTGGGTTGGTTTGAATAGGGATGATCCCAGGGGCGATGCATAGTGGGTGCATGGGGATGCAATTGCACCCCCTGAGAGTGCCAGTGCAGCCCCTGCCAGGCCATGCTCCCTGTTTAGCCGGTGAACAGGGGGGCAGGTGGGAGCACCACTGCCCCCCCTGCAAGCACCAGCCAGGGAGTGGGACCGCCAGCAAAAGCAGCTGTGCTGCACCACTTCCAGAAGTGGCCCTGGGACTTCTGGAAGTGGTGTGGCTGCTTTCATGGTGACTGAGATCAGCTGCTGGGGAACACCCCCCTCCCCCGCCATCAGCAGGATTGGCCGCCGGGGGACTCCCCCCCCCAGTCACTGACTGGTGTCAGGAGGGGCACATGCCCCCCCTGATTCAAGAGGTAGCAGACACCCATGGCTGATCCTGCTTTGAACAGTGTGGTTGGTCTCCTGCAAAGTGTGGCCTCCTACTGCTCTTCCAAACTGTCCCGCACCTTGCGCTGCCCTTTGTCTGTCATCAGGGCTCTTGGGCAGTGGCTTCCCCCTAGGCCCACCAAGTCTCTCCCAGTACAGGCTTTTCCTGAGGTCTATTTGTAGTTTTCTGCAGGGCTTTTACTAGCACAGGCCTTCCTATGAAACATAGGTAGGAGCCACAATGTTATGGGGTTGTTCAGTCTAGCTGCTCTTACCATTGTAGCAGCAGCAGTGGCAAGGTGTGTGTGTGTGTGGGAGGGCTTTTTTAGGCACCGCAGATGCTAAAAAATACCCTCCCTGTGATGTCCAGCTGGTGGTTAGTATGCTTCACCCCAGTACCAGCTGTCTCCTGGCCCCAGCAGGGATATTACAGCTGGAGGCAGGGATATTCCAGTCCCTGAGGAGTGGGTTTCAGGAGCAGGGTGTGAGCACTTCAGAGTAGACAGTGGAGGTCACAAGAGCTTCTTGAAGGGCAGTGGGCACAGGAGGCTCCTTGAACTGCAGTGTGGTGTACTGGACATCAGCTGAGCCCTGCATTATATAGCAGGGGTCTCCCACTCCCTTCATCACAGCAGCCTCTAGGCCCTGCAGCCAGCCCTGCCTGCCTGGGGCTAGCACCCTCTGCTGCACCCTTTGGCCTCCCTCCCTGTAGCACAGTGCCCCTTGGCATTACCTCTGGGCTGGGGTCGCTGTTAGGGGAGGATTTCATCTCCCTGGTAGCCGTGGTCTCAGTTCGTGTTGGATACTCTGCTGGGAAAGAGGAGAAAAGGAGACACAGAGGTGACAGAAAGAGGGGGGAAGCCAGCCGGTGCCCCCAGATCAGGGCCAGAGCCCCTGCCTCACTCACCAGCCTGGTCCCCGTGTCCTTCTGCTTTCAGCACTATTGGGGTCTGGCTGTGGAGGGGAGGGTGATTATTTCCATGTGGCACCAAGCAGCCTAGAGAGTGCCACTGCTGCACCAGCCCACCAGCCCCGACCCCCCTCCCGGTGCTGGGAGATAACCGAGGCATCCCAGCTTTGTTGCCCTTACTTCCCTGACTTCATCCCCTCCCAGACTGAAGAGAGACACCTGTGTACCTGGCTCTCCTGGTCTGGTGCCTTCTGAAGCAGACAAAGGTGAGGGCTCCAATCAGGATCAGGCCCAGGGCACCAGCCAGGCTGCCAGCGACGATAGGAAAATGCTGGTGAGTCCATAGGGATCCCGAGGCTGGGGAGAGACAGGGAAGGAGCATCAAATGCTGCACTTGGACCCCTCACCCAGCACTGGGATATAACTGCTGGGCTGGGGGGGCATGTTGGGGTTGGTTATACAGAGCCTGAGGCATAGATGTGGCTTCCTCTTTGGGGGCTGGCTACACAGTGACCCGTTGCCCAATGCTGAAATTCAGCTGCCTCTGCGGTCATATCACAGGTTGGTTATGCAGAAACACCTCCCCTGGCATGAAGATACGCCTGCTTCTGGGGTGGGTGTGGATTAATAGCCACATCAAACTTCTCTCTAGGGGGATCATTATTTTGCCAACCCCCAGCTGGGCTGGATGGCAGGTGCTTTGGAAGGCATGTGGCCCCAGGCAAGTGGGCTTTTACCTACCTGGGGGAGCTGAGGTGGGGGTAAGGGTGGGCTCCAGCTCCAGGCAGAGCTCCCCAGAGAGTGGGGGGTCTCCAGACAGGACACAGCCCCACAGACCTTGATAGCGGGCAGAGAAAAACTTGATGGTGAGCTGCATCCGCAACTGCCGGACGCCTTCAAGGAAATCTGCTGTCTTCCCATTGAAGCTCCAGGTGGCAGTGTGGGATGTGGAGGCAGGGGTGCCACCCCCTGCACAGGGGGCACAGCGCAGGGTCACTGTCGCCCCCTTCATTAGTGGTCTTTGGGCCTGGACGCTGATGGATGCCCCTTCCTGGCAACCTGAGGACATGACATTGACTGCCAGATGGTCTGAGACATGGTGCCCCCCTCTGGCCCTTGCAGACATCCCCCATAACCATCCCAGAGCTGGGAGAGAACCCAGGCATCTGGGTTACCAGCCCCACCTCATTCCAAACCCTAATCCTCTTCTGAAGCCAAGTGTCCTGCACTCCTTCCAGACCCCACTCCCCCTGAACTGGGGTAGAACCCAGGTGTCCTGACTCCAAGCCCTCCCAACCCCCAGCCACTTTCCAGAGCAAGGGTAGGATCTGGGCACAGTACCTGGGGTAACGGTGACCTGTGTTGCGGAGGCAGTCTGGTTCCCGTTGGTGCAGGAAAAGAGTCCTGAATCACTGACCTTGGGCTTTGTCAGCACAAGGTAGCTGCCCCCATTCCACGGGTCCCCTCTGAGATGTAGGCGATGCTGGAAATGAGCCAGTTTCACCGTCTGAGTCTTTGCTGATGTCCAGGTGAATATGTGGGTGTTCTGCTGGAGCTGCCTTGCACAGAGCAGGTATTGGGGGACCCAGAGCCACATCAGACTTGGCCCCCGGAGGCTGCAGGGCAAGGCCAGCTCTGACCCAGCCTCCACCACTGTCTGCTCAGAGCCTGCAAACACCAAGCCAAGGTAAGTGCTGAGGTGCAGCTGGCTCTGGGGTGGGATGTGTCAAGGGGCTGGTTATACACTGGTGCTGAGGTGCAGGGTGGGATGTTTAGGGCAGGAAGCAAAGGGCAACTCTGGCTGTGCAGGGGGGCTATGCTCAGCCCTGCCTGCATGGGGAGGCCTCTCCCTGCAGACCTAACTCACCCCTTCCTGAAGGTTTCCCTTGGCCCCCCAGACCAGGTCCTACCTTATTCAGTGCAGTCCCCCGTCCTGAGGCTGGGCTGGCTCCTTACCTCTCTTGGCCATGCCCTTCTGTGGGGCACAGAGGATGATGGACAGGAATGCGAGGGTCATGGGGGCATTAAAAGGATTAATCCATGAGGAGCCAGGATAGAGGCCCATACTTCCGGGTGTGTCTGCCTCTAGGGAGGAGCCAAGGGCCCAAGAGCAAAAGAAGAAATGAAGAGCAGAAGCAGAGGAAAAGGAAAACCACAAAGGCCCCAAGTCCATGGCAGAACAGAGTGATCATGAGCCTGAACGACACACTTGACAGCAGGAGAGAGATCCAGCCCACAGTGCCACAGGGATGGCTGACAAGGGCTTCATGAGCTGATTTCTAAAAAGGCACCATCTTGTGTGACACAAGGGACCATGGGATGCAAAGTCCTGAAGTTAGGATGGAACAAGCCTATGCACCGGTACAGGCTGGGGGGGGACTGGCTAAGCAGCAGCTCTGCAAAAAGGACCTGGGGGTGACAGTGGACAAGAAGCTGAATAGGAGCCAACAGTGTGACCTTGTCACCAAGAAGGCTAACGGCATCCAGGACTGCATTGGCAGGTGTATTGCCAGTAGGTCCTGGGAAGTGATTCTTCCCCTCCATTCAGCACTGGTGAGGCCACATCTGGAGTCCTGTGTCCAGTTTTGCCCCCCCCACTACAGAAAGTGGACATGTTGGAGAACTGGCAATGAACATGGTTCAGGGGCTGGGGCACGTGCTTTGTGAGGAGAGGCTGAGGGAACCAGGCTTATTTAGTCTGCAGAAGTGAAGACTGAGGGGGGATTTAATAGCAGCCTTCAACTCCCTGCAGGGGGTTGCAAAGAGGATGGAGCTGGGCTGTTCTCAGTGATGCCAGATGACAGGACAAGGGGCAATGGCCTCAAGTTGCAGCAAGGGAAATTGAGGCTGGATATTAGAAAAAAATGTTCTCACTAGGAGGGTGGTGAAGCACTGGAATAGGTTACCTAGAGAGGGGGGGCAGTCTCCATCCCTGGAGATTTTTAAGACCTGGCTAGACAAAGCCTTGGCTGGGATGATGTATTTGGGGCTGGTCCTGCTTGAGCAGGGGGTTGGACTACATGTGACCTCCTGAGGTCCCTTCCGGCCCTCATTGTCTATGATTCTAGGATTCAGGTGTGTATTCCCAACCCGTAATGTGGTAGAGCTTTTTCTCAGTTTCTCTGAGCTTTCCTGGGTATGTCACTCTGGGACAGGGTCTGATTACACCTTCTTTGCCACAAGTTACTGATGGCTCCTCTCAACCTCATCCATCTGGAAGGGAAGGGTTTAGGGAAGGGTCCCTAAACCCTTCCCATCTGGAAGGGTTTAGGGACCCAGGTCTCCTGTGCACAAGGGGAATGGAGAGGGGAGAGGAAGAGACTGGAAAAGTCATTGCTTGAAACTCTTCATCACGTTCTCCATCTGTTTAACATGTCTCTCCTGCTATTTTAGAGGGGCACCATGCTGATAAATGTAATGATCCTTCAGTCATTTCCCCAGGAAGGGAAGCAGAAAGTTTCATGTTTTGCAGCTGATATTCCAGCAGCTCTTTAGGGCTTTTTCTCAGAGAAGAAGCTCCATGAGATTTGTTCTGTCTCCCAAGTAACTCCCCAAGAAACCTCATTCTCCCAGGTGTCGGAGATCAGAGCAGCGGCCGGTCAGCTGCTTGCTGACTCCCGGAGCCGGGCCGTAAACCTTTCGCCTCAACAGGCGGGTAGTGATGGATGGGGTGAAATTAACCAGGCACAGATGCGTGTTGGTTACAGGAGATTGTTCACTTACGTCGCCCAGATAGTGAAGTACGACACAGGCAGAAGACTTGCCTTGTTTACATTCGAGCGTGTCTTAGATTATAATCGACCATGAATATGACGAACGAGATACCGTAAATGACCGCACGGGCCTGCAGGAGGGTTGGGGGTGTGGCAGAAATGCCCCCGTCAGTGCCCCTCTCCAGAGATCTGTCTCAGCCAGCCCGAGAGGCTGCTGTTGAATCTCTCACAGCAGGGATCTCGCTCCTTGTCTGCAGACAAAAGCCTGGCGCCTGGGAGGCGATGCTCTGGTCACCTGGGCAGGGGGGAAAGGCCCGGCCCTGCGCGCGGGCCCAGGTAGCCAGGGATGCTTTGCAGATTGGACGGTTTGTAGCC